TTAATTCTACAGTCAAAGCTTAATGCTAGAGACAGTTAAAAAGCAGTTCTGGGAGATTTGAAACAGAGGCAGGAAGACCTGTGATCTACCCCAGAGCCAGCAGGCTCTGTTTGCCTGAGATTTATGCACATATCACCAATGCAGGTTAATCAGATGAAGATCCAGGGACTCTCTACCATCCAGAAAGAAATCTTGAGCTCCCTGAGATTGTCAGCCTCGGTAGTAGCATCCCTACTGCAGCCAGAGATGAGCTCTGGCTGTAGAGAATCACATACAGGGTTCTAACTATGGATTTCTGCCTAGTGTCCCAATTCTGGGCCTAAGAATGCGGTCCAGACAACATTCATGTGCAGCCAGGGCTGAGCAATGCAGATCCAGGTGTCATGTCCACAGCAGAATCCTAACACTCTGCCCTACCACTACCACCAAACCAGACACACCTGAATACACAGAGCAAACAGGCCCACCCAGCCAAGGTCCTGAGCCAAGGCTCTTGCTCTGGTTTCTAGCTGTGTTGGGATCCTGAGCAGTAGCTTCTGTCCTGCCCACTGATCTGGTCATAGGGTCCTTGTCCAGTACGCTTCCCTCCAGGCTGGCTGTGCAGTATTGACAGAAGAGCTCAGAGGGCAAAGCAGAAGCTCTGGATCCAAGACCTTGTTCTGCTGCTTCCCAGCCATGTACATGGACTCTCAGTCAGGAAATAAGGTGTCGTGGGGCAGCTGTTGCTTTTCCCCGCATGTCCTTGATTGATCTTGTCCTATCCATGGGTATATCATTGGGCTATAGGTCAAAAGGTCCCCTCTCTCAAGAGAAAGTAGCTGCCTTTCCCAATGAATCTTGTGGACTCACCCAGAGGACTTTATATTTTAGGCATCATGAACAAATAATTTAAAACAAAGTGTTCCATCCATTGCTCCCAACAAACGTTTGCCAGCTATTTCCTCTGGATACTTTGTCTTCTGCCCTTTTGGGGAAGTTTCTTTAGCTTTTTCCTTTCTTATGCGAGGCCCCACTCCCATCCATCTCACAGCAAATTCCTTCTAAGCTTCAGTTTGCTGTAGTAGGAAACTGTTGCTTACAGCCCAAGACTCCTGTCTAATGTTAACATATCTTAGCATCCCCACTTCTCATATAAAACAACTTAGGCTGGACTAGATACAGGCTGCTACATCCATTTAGTAACAGAATTAGATCTTTAATGGGAGTCTCCTGCTCCACCTCAGTACATCTTGCAAGTTTCAACCACAACATTGAATAATTACATGTTGGAGAAATCATTTCTCTGCAGAAAGATAAATGCAGAAAGAGACCCAGAAAAGCACCAATCCTATTTGCATGGGCTCAGTTCAGAGCCTCAAGCCGTCATTACAAAGGCACCAACAGCTGTTAAAACCTTAAAGCCTTGAACTTGAGCTGAACCTTCAGAAAACCTGGCCATGACCCATGAAGACAGAACCACAAAACTGGAGACAATGGTCCTTTTTTTATTTTTTAAGGAAAAAGTGTGACAATTGTATATAATTTTCAAGGTTAATGGCATCTTGATTCACAATAATGAAAATCTCGTTTATCTACATATTAGTGTCCTGAAGCTAGCTTCATTTGCATAATCATAAATTTCATTTCAACTGTCCTCAGCAGCTTGTTCCCCATTTGATGAAAATGTAAATGATAATTTTATTTGGGCTGAACTGCATGTATACAGCATTTATGTCGCATCAGAAAATAACATTTCCATCTCACCAGTGAGTTGGGCTCATTACAACAAAATAAGAATATTGGTTAAAACACCAAGTCAGTGTCCCAAATGTGTTTAAATGCCCTGGTCACTGTCATATTATTTCCCAATTGGTTTTAATGTCATTTAATCAAAAATATCTTCATTTCTTGCATGGTACAGGCTGCCAAAAGGCCACAGAATTTCAAGATGACATGGGAGTGAGGATGCTCACAAGTGGACCAAAAACTGGGAAACACATTGTTAATTTTTTTTTTTTTGGCACAACACAAGCTGATGCCATACAGGTCAATTCAAACAAGTGTGTACACAGCCAGATCCCCCCAACCTGACCCCATCTCTTCCCCTGATCTGGAATTTACTTCATGGGTTATGGAGGGTTTGAAGTTCCTTTTGACCATTTGTGTCTACTACAATGCTTGGCACAGGGTGAGGTGCGGCAAGAAGTCCCAGAAATGAGTAAAATGAGCAGGGAGACCCTTCTCGGGTGCTCCTAGAAACTTATCAGCCTCATCGGGCAGAGGTGGACACTGAGGTTTAAAGGGATGAAGCATCTTAAGTTCATCAACCAAGACACCTGTCAGGAAAGACAGGCAGACATGATGTAGGGGAAAGAAGCTCCCAACCTACTAGATGTCCAGCACAAGTTCATGTTCTCTAAAATTGAAGAATGCCAGTTTCTGTCTGAGGAAAAGACAGAAGAAGTCTTGAAGGGGTTTCCAAAGATTCTGCCCATTTAAGAAACTTTTGTAGAGTAAAACCACAAAGCGAGGTAGGTGTTAGGAAAAACATGGGAACTCACAAGGTAAGCATAAGGTAGGGCAGGACTGTAATCTACCAATAAACATTAACTGTTCAGGTAAAACTGATTAAATTGGGGACAAATGGAAAAGCGTCATGTAGCAGGCATGTATATAGATCAGTGACTGTCCCTGTAGGGAACTGGGTCAGTGATTCCTGGCTTCCTCAGAATAACAGAGACTTATTTAGAATATTAATACTTGATGTTTTTCCTTAGGAAGTATGTGGGTGCATTTGTTTTATCTTTTGTCTTAAGGTCTAGCCCACAGGGGAAGTGTCTGTCTCCCCAACAGTTGCAAGGTATCTCATCTTCTACACTGGCTCCTTCGAGGACCTAGACCTGTCTGACCACGTATATTTCTATCTGGCTCAGCTGCCTGTAACAGAGAGGCTTAAATGTTCACCTGAATTGTCACGCTCGGGAGCCAAATTGGAGAACAAGTTGGAAATGTGGCAGTGTGCAGAGTCACTCTTGGACTCACTGTAGCATCACTCCAGGCCACCATTGCTGCACTGAGTTTTGGCGCACATGTGGGTACCCACAGCTCCCGCCCCTGGAGGAAACTACTATATTGCTCTTAGGGATGCATGGACAGACACCTCCAGTGAGACAGGAACCCCTCACCAGCAGCATCTTCAGAGGCAGCCTCACTGAACCTTCTGGGCTCCAAGGAGGCCCAACACGTTTCTTGCTAATTAAGGCTCTTTCCAAAAGCTGCACTCTGCACGCCAGGGTTACGGCTCTCTGACCTGTACCCAGGAACACTACATAGAAAATGGCTAGCCTGGGCCTGATGCAAGAAATGAATAATCTCAGCTGCTCCAAGGGCAGAAGCAATGGCCAAGATAAGAGATTTCTGCAGGTAGGGAGCAGGGCCAGGGGCAGAGAGGTGATGCACTTGTTTCCTGGGACTTCTAGCAAGGCATTAAGCTCTTTTTTAAAAGGCCTTCAGACACCTCAGTTCTGACCAGCAACAGAACAGAGGGCAGGGGACTGCAACACAGCCAGTCTATAGGATGTTTTAATCCCACAATGACCTGCAACACCTTCAAATCCATCCACATTTGTGTCACATGGGCATGCAATTTTTTTTTTCATTTTTCACACAAGATGAGCAGCACGCCCAGGGCAATGTGTCTTGTTAAGACAGTGCTCTGAAAGGCAACCTTTCTCATACTTGGAACTCCTGGGAAACCACTTAGAACTACTAAAACAGAGGCCAGAGCCCTCCTTGGAGCTCCTGAATCTCTGTAAGGTTGATAAGCATCCCAGGCACCTCAAGCAGAAAGAACTTTATCTCTCCAGCCTTCCCAGGAGCCAGGACTCCAGACCCAACTGGAATGGCCAACCCCTGGGTCAGGAATAGTCTGTAATATCTCCCAAGGGCAATTCAAGCTGCCAACTTTAAGATAAAAGCAAAAAGATTTAACTGGGGCCATGTTCTATAAGGAAGGCAATTTTCTTAGAATTTACTCATTAAAACTTACAGGTACTTACAGGTAAATATTTATAAAAATAGTGGTTCCGGGAACTCTGTGATTTTTTTTTTTCTAGAGATCAAACTCAGGACCTTGCGCTTACCAGGCAAGTACTGTGCAACTGAGCTGTATCCCCAGCTCCACTCAGTAATTTCCGATCTCCAATTTTTCCCTTCTGAAGAGCGATAATGACCTTACCAGGACAGCTGTAAATATACCCTCCAAGTTAGTCTGACCCTGAATTTCTGCATGCATCAGTATTGTCCTTGATACAAATCCTGTAGCAGGATGTCTGCTCCTTGCTCTGGGGCTGTTGGATGCAGTGTTGCTTTGGGGAGCCTCCAGGGACCTCCTTGTCACTATCAAGTAAGTGACTTTGGGGAAGGCCTCATTCCTCTACGTTTCAATTCATGTTGTCTCCTTGCTATCATGGGTGGGGTTTCTGCTGTCTTCACTCTGGAGCCCCCCATGGAAACACATGGAGGAGGTGACACTTTCATGTGTGGCCCCACTAGCAGGGACTCAGGTTTGATATGAAGGTAGTGAGTTCTCCTTCACTGGAGACATCCAAGCAGAGGTCATATATCAGGAATAGCAGCAGCCTGCGACCACCACCAAACAATTAACACACTGAACCCAGAGACCCCCAAAGCCCTTCCAACTCCAGGTGTCTGGTTTCATGAATTTCAAATCTGGCTTCTTTCACTGCGCCATTAAATACACTGAAATTCTGCCCCTGCAGTGTTCTAATGCTCAGACTTGTTTTCTACAACGTGGCAAAATACAATTTACATATCTCCTAAGTGTCAGAGCCATGAGAAAGAAAAACAAATTAATCAACAAAGAATCCCTTTTCAATGCCTTTCAAGCCAGCTTGTGTCTGTCACCAAACCACAGGTGAAATGCTAATAAAATTCAGCTAGGAACAGCAGCATCATGATTTAAATATGGTCTATTGTTCCAAAGAAACATATACAAAATCTAGTGCCAAGCCTGGTCTGTTTAATGAGTATGAATTTGGTTAATAAGGGAACTATTAGATGGCAACAAAGGTCTCCTAAAAAATAAAGAGGGAGGCGTCACCATTGCATGGCAGAGGGAAGGATCCACAAGGTCGTCGGTGCACTGCCATCTTCTCTGGGAAATCTAGCAAGACGGGTGCTGCAGAAGGGGTCCCGGAAGAAGCAACTGGAAAACAAGAGTAATGAAGTCATTTCCCCTTTATAGCCTAATGTGAAGAGACAGGGCCATGGGACCTTGCTCCAGCTTTGAATAACAGGAGTGAACCACAGCTGGAGAAGCCATGTGCTAGCAAGATACACCACAGTCAGGATGAATGGAGCCCTGAAGCCTAGGACATGAGCCCTGTCACCCTCCAGTCTGCACACTGCCCTGCACGCCCTGACTGTATTATCTTTCCCAATACATGGTTTCCTCCGTTGCTTCCATTTTTTTTTTTTTTTTCCCTTTCTGCTGCTGGAGATTGAACCCAGGGCTTCGCAACATGCTAGGACACTTCCACCACTGAGCTACATCCTGAGCCCCTCATCTCCATCCATATGTTCTCTCTGTCTCTCCTGCCTCCATCCATCTCAACCTTGCTCTAAATCTAGATCCAAGGTCAGCCTCCCTGATACAGAGTAGTCAGCACTCCCCAATGGGGGCCTATAAACCTCTGCCCATCTCTATAGCACAATCCCCAGTCCACTGGGTGTTTATCTGCCTCCAGCGGTCTATTAGATTGGAAGTTCTCCAAGGGTTGTGACCAGGTCACAGATCTCATTTTGACCCCAGGATATAGCACAGAATTTACCAAGTGCCAACAAACTCTGTGGCAGAAGGTGAGGACCAAGGCTTTGCTTACTAAGCCATTGATTCCAAGTGTTTTGGCCACAACATCTCCTTAACGGTGCTCATTGGAAGGAAAATGTAAAAGGATACGACCACACCAGTGTTGCTAAAAGTTCCATAGACTGAGATATGTTTATGACCCAAAAGGCATGGCTACCTCCACAGGGATCTGAACTTGAACTTACAGTCAGACAGAACCAGATTCACCCAGGTAGCCATCTTGCTTCACGGTCTTATGCAAATCACACAACCTCTCTGAGTCTCAGTTTCCTCCATCAAGCTATAGAGATGACTAGTACTCTTGTGCAGAGTTGTTGAAATGTTGTAACAAAATAAAGTTAAGTGGAAGTGACAGAAACCAAGATTTCATGAGATGTCATGTTCTTCCCCTCTGCCGTGGTCTCAGTGTACTTGCTCTCTGCCCAATTCATCTGTTGAAACCTAATTATCAAAGTAATGGTATTGAGAGCTGGGGAGATGATTAGGTCAGGGCCAGGATCCCCATGAATCAATTAAGGCCTTTATAGAAAAAAACCCAGAAAGCTTCCCTGCTCCCACTATGGAAGGACACAGCAAGAAGACACACTCTACAAACCAGGGGGCCCTCATCAGACACCAAATCTGCTGGCACCTTGATTTTGGGCTTACCAGTCTCCAGAACCATGAAGAATAACAGTGTTGTTTATTAGCTCCTATTAGTTTATGGTGTCTTGTTATAGCAGCTAGAACAGGCTAAAACACCTTCCTTGCAGAATTTCCTGCTGTGAGATTTTAGATCACAATCTTGCCATCTGTAGAATAGGTAGGCATGCTCTCTACTTATTCCACGACTCAAGAAGCCAGTTCATGTAAAACATTAATATTTATAACAGACTTGGTTTATGCAAAGTGTCATGTAAGTGTGAAATAGTTATCCCACACTTCCTAAACAACATAGGAATTGCCATCTGTCACTTCTAACAGGATTAAGAGATTGTCATCCATTCAGAACACACTGTTAGCAAAGAAAAGTGTTGCCTATGGAAGAGGCATATCTCCCCTGTACTCTGCTTTCTGCAGTGATCCCCAAGTTTTATGTGACTCTATTGAGATGTGTTGGATAGAAACTCCTGTGATGCTATCATGTCATCTTGGAGCTGGAAGTGTAATCCTCCCTGACTGATGGGGAAACTGAGGCTTGGGGAGGTTATGCTGAGTCCTAATCCAGTGCTCTCTGCTCACCTTTGCCCAAGATGTTTCAGGAAGGACAATGTGTTGCACACAAGGTTTTGCCAGGTGTGAGCTTCACCAGAACCACAAGAAAAATAGCAAGGGCTCAGAATCAGCAGAACACGCATCCTTCTTCAGTTATCAGCAGGAGGATGGGGAGATATAGGAAGGGGGAAATGATAAAAATTAGATATAGAACTCAAAATAAAATTCATGCCACTCTGCTATAATTACATGCAATAGTGAAAAAGTACTAATGTCTGTCCACAATTTTAAATAGGTGATCACAGACTCCAAAATATAATTCTCTATGATCTCTCAAAATTAAACCCAGATGACCATACATCCCAAATTCCCAGCATGTTATCATTTTTAAAAAATTGTCCCAAAATAATGGTTAATCATGTACTCACAGTTCACTTTTAAAAATGACATCTGGGTGAAGATGATTATCCCACAGCCTTGCTATAGCTACAAATGAGAAACACAGAGAGGCTTTATAAGTGTCTTGATTAAATCACAATCTCTGGACATGAGGTGCAGCCACTGGTATTTTTATTTTTAAAGCTTTCTCCAGTGAGTTTAATGTACAACCAACATTCAAGGTCACTGTCCTAAAGAAGGAAATACTTGCTGATGAACAAAGGTGAGTCAAAACTATGCACAGGATTGCCAGGGGGGCCCCCCGACTAACTCTGAGCTACCCTGTGTTCAGGACTATGGAAGCAGCACAAGGGGATGCTTTAAGCTGGTCTGGGAAACTCCATCCATGGCCTGCTGTCCCTACTGGTCATTCTGTTTGTCTGAACTCACCTGCCCACTCAGGGAAGGATTTGAGGCTCTGTGGCAGGCCCCAGGCCAGCAGTGAGTAGGTCATTAGTGTTCATCTCGCTCCCAGAGAGTAGCAGTGAGAAAAGTCTTCTGTTTCACCTTGAAACAAGGAAGAAGAGCCCAGAGAGACAGATTTTCTACACATTGCAGAGAGGCTCTGCCAGAGAATCCCATCGAGGCGCAGGGAGCCAGGTCCCTGGCACAGATCGGCCCCAGAGCCCAGGGTGCAAACATATCCTTTGCATAGCTTTGAACAGATTGTCTCCAAATGCTGCCTCTCTCTCCTCATTAGTGCTGCAAAGTAAGGCTCTGGCCTCTCCCTGCACACCAGGGAGGTTCCTGGGAAGAGAAGGGCCTGCCATGTCCTTGTCCCCACCACCAAGAGCAGAGCCTGTCCCCAGACAGCTCCCTGGGTTTTGAATCAGTTTCACAGCTCTCTCACCCTGACTGAAAAGCATTTCCAAGAGAAGTAAGTGGAGATTTGAGACAGGTCTCTTTCTATTTTGAGGGGCACAAATGTCATTATAGCTGGACCTAAAGGAGGCTGACAGTTCCCTAATACATTACACCTATCACTGCATTTCAAGGCTGTGTTCCTGAAAATGTCTTTGGTGAGGTATTAGAAAACTTATTCCATAAAACACTATTTGGGAAACTTCAAAATATGGAAAAACCTTGTCATTTTTGGATTTAACAATCACGGTTTTGGCTCATGAATAAATAATAAAAATATTGCCAAGCTCCTCTCTGTAAAATGATAACCATTTACCACCAACAATACACACACACACACACACACACATCCCTCACTCTTGGCATTTTCAAACCTCCTGATCTTTGCTGACCTGAAAAACAGAAAGGATTATTTCCACGCATTTTCAATTTGCATTTTTATCAGTAAGGCTGAGCAACTTTTCATAAATTTAAGAAGTTGCTTTGCTCCCTTTTCTGTAGGTTCTATATCCTTTGCCCAATTTTCTTATTGATTTGTAGAAGCTTTTAATATATTAAAGAAAACAGACCTTTCTCTGTGATACAACATGCAAATGTATTTCCAGTTTGATGTTTTGTCTTTTGATTTTATTCATGGTGCATTTAGCTAAGACTGTTTTAAAGTAATTGGACATATTAAAATTTTCTTTTATGGTTTCTAGGTTTTGTACCACACTTTACAAACTCTCAAAAGGAAAACATTTTTCATTGTTTCTTTCATGTGAGATCTTAAAGAAGCTGGGCCAGGCAAAATCATTCAAGAGAAAAATACTCAAAGAAAACCATAACTTAACTTGTCGCTCTTCCTGTGTGTGAAAACCGGGTACCCCAGGAGAGAATTGAAAGAGCAAATTACCTAAAAGAACCACCACAGTGCTCTCCACCTGAGGGACTATGTCTCACAAGATGCCATAATCCCAAAATCCCAGCTCCAATGTAATTAAGTGCCTCTGCTTGTCATGGTCTCATTTATTTCTGAGCCATTCTACCAATCTTTGTAAAACCAAAGATTGGTGCCTCTGTCCTATCCAACCAGCAGCTTCCATGTCAGCTGGAGTCTCCCAGATAACTTCAGTGATAATTGCATAAACCACGTGAGATTGAATCAATATAGAGTATATCAGGAAAAGGCTCTAGGGAGCTCAATGAACTTGCTCTTAAGGATGTTAGATGCACTCATCTGTTCCCAGGGACCCCATTGTTCTTCTGTGCCCACCAAATCTTGCCTCACTAATCCCCACTGCGCTGATACTATCCCTTCAATAGGACTGCTTTTGCCTGCCTCAGCCTCCTTTTTGTGCACAACTGGAAAGGGACACACAAGGGAGCAGATGGGTATGAATCTGGTGGTGGCAACTGAACTCAGAGCCTCCCTTGAGCATCTGACCTGAGGTTCACAGGAACTCATGCCTGGCTCTGATCCTATCACTGGCACCTGTTTCCCTTTGCAGTTCCCCAAGGCCTCTGAACTCCTTCTTGGACCCCAAACGTGCTGGTGACTGGGCATTGCGAACCTGTCACACATCCTGCAAAGAAGTCTGCTCCCTTTTCCAGTCTTCTTCACTCAGCCACGGGGGCCTTTCCTTGCTTCCCTGACCTCCTCCTCTCAAAAATCCCTGACCACTCCTGAAGTTCTCTTGGGGTTTAGAAACAGTGCCAAAACTCAGTTTTCTGTTGAAGATAGCATACTTCCTAACTGGTAGTGCACAGAGAGGATCAGTTATTTGTGTAGGAGGAAGTTCAACCTCAGAGAAGAGGGTGAGACTCACCCAAGGTCAACAGCTAGTTGGCTGCCAAGCCAAAATTCGAGTCCATGCTTGTTGACTCCCTGCCCAGTGCTCCCCTCCAACCCTCTGTGGCTCCCAGACCAACTGTCTCTCACTTCCTTGGGGGAATCTCCTGGTGAGAACTCTACTTTTTAATCCTATCTGTGCTGAAAAGAGAACAGGTTGACTTTGTAATGTCATCAGATATTAAGTTTGATTTTCTCAGCTACTGACATCCAAATTGCCAGAGAGCTCGAATACCCCAATGGGGCCTGTTGGCTGTGCTAATAGACTCTGGGTTTGCAGCGGGGGAGGAGGGGCAGCCCCTCTCAGCTGCAGGAGGACAGTGTGGAGGTGGGGGCTGCAGAGGTTGGTGCCCAACCACAAGGAAGCCAGGGACAGGGGAAAAGCTGATAAAGACAGATGGGGGTAAGGGTCTTCCATTAAAATTTTAAACTGCGAGCTCTCCATGACCATACATACTTGAAATGCCATCCCTGGGCAATGGGAGCAGAGAGGCTGTTAAGGTTATTGTGTGAAGTTGCCAAAAATTGAAGACATAATGCATCACTTGTCCTCTGGAAATTTTTTGAAAGGAAAGTTCTGTGTGACAAGAAACACACTGTGCAAATAGAGGCAGGGAAAAAAGGCAGTGCTCTTCCCAGGCTTCCTGAGAGTAACACTGGTTCTCATCTTGATTTGAGAGGGTACAGGGAGATGCATCTCTGCAGATAGAAAGGTGTCCCAAGGACTAGGATGTAGCTCAGTGGTAGAGCACATGTTTAACAGATGAAAGGCTCTTCCTTGCTCAGTCTTTGAAGACTGAACATGGGCTCTGGAGTTAGAAACACCTGGCTTTTGCCTCTGAATTCATGCATTTTTCCCATTAAGCAGTTCTATTAGCTTCTCTGAATTTTGACTGCCCCATCTGTAAAATGAGACAAATAATGCTGTCCTCCATAGAAGACTCCATAGACTACGCCTAGAGCACCTGCGATATGCCTGACCTGAACTAGAAGGTGAGGAGCTCTTCTTTAAAGCTCAAAATGGACTTTGTGGTTTACTTCCTCCAGTGCCTTAATTTTTCAAGTGGAGAAACTGAGGCCCAGGTGGAGGAGTTACTTATCCATAGTCCTCAGCAGAATCAAATTCAAGTCTTCACCTTCTGTGGAAATGACCTTCTCCCACATCAAGAAATACCTCCTCTCAGGAATTTCCTGCTTCCTCCTCCCCACAAGCTCAGCATCTCCAGATGTTCAGTGTGAGGCTTGCAAGGAAAGGGGTGTCGGGTGGATGTGGTGCTAGGGATCTCCACTTCCCAGGCCAGCCTGACATCTAAACCCAAGAAGTAAGAAATCCCTGTGTGACCTCCCCGAGGAGTCAGACCAGGGTGGGCAGGTGTAGTCCGGAAAGAGAAAGGAGGGCAGCGAAAGTCTCAGAGCCCTGGTGAAAATCACAGCATCAGGGCAAGAGACAGGAACTTTGTTTGACAGTTTTTAAATAATTGCAGTTGGAGAGAAACCATGAGCAGCTCTGGCTGATGTGTGAAGCCAGGAAGGACACGAAGAGCACTGTGACATGTGCAGTCCTAGGACAATCCTACGGACAAACTCTACTCCTGAGTGATGAGGCGGAGCCTCAGCTGCCTGCCAATCCTGGGATGATAGTGTGGAGCTGCAGTGAAGTCCTCCTGCTTCATTTCTCCTGACATCCATCTGGATGAAAAGTTTCTGGTCTTCAAATTGCCAAATGCAAGTAGAATTTATATAGCTATTTTCATATACTTTTGCTGAGATCTGGGATAGTTTCTGCAATTAAAACATTTTCTCTTCTAAGAAACTAGGACTTGAGGTGAAATCATGCACTCTCCATGTAGATAACTTTGATTTTATCGCTGCACAACCCTGAATCACCTACTGGACTCCTCCAGAGAGGATAATTAGCCTCAAGGAATGTACATTCCAACTGGAAGGCAGAGATGAGATCTGGAAGAGATGCGATCTGAGTATGAAGAGATGGTACCAATAAAATCATAGCGTGAGGAAAAACACAGATTACCCAGGGAGGATTCCATCTGATTTTCCAGTATGACAAATAGAGAACCAGTATATTCAAGGTCACACAGCTGGCTTGCTCTGTGTGATGGACTAGGAGGAACTCTCCTCCTGGCCAGCATCCTAAGTGCTGACTGCTACGCTCAGCTTCTTCTTATGGATAACTGGAAAGACCCAAGGAGGTTTTGTGCACCTTCCTGTGCAGACAAGACTCTCCACCTGGGCCAGCCCAACCTCTCAATCAGAAGCACTAGAGCCTGTCTGGGATTAATCTTGTCATTTCTGGTGAACAAAACACTAAACCAATCATTCTCTCTCTCCTGGGCTTCATTTATGCAACTGAACACCTAAAGTTTGCTGCCAGACTCCAGTATGTATGGTACGGTAAGAGCTCCTGTCTGTGGGAGATGGACCAGGACAAGACCCAATCCGAAGCATGCGCTGGGATTCCAACACTGCTGCTTGCATCAGGGGTCACTCATCTGTAACACAATGTTATCAAGTTCTCATTCTACAGCTAGAAGAACTGGAGCCCAGAGAGACCAAATAGCTTCCCCAAGACCAGCAATTGACAAAGGGAGGACCCACAATGAGTCTCAGCATCACTCTCCCCAATGCCTGCCTGCCCTAAGCAAATTCCTAATCTAATCCTCTCCCTGTGATTTCCCATCCATTCATTGCTAGGCTTCCCATGTGAACCTCATTTCCTAGTTAAGGTAACTAATCAGAGTGACTCACTCAAGAACAGGAAGCTGATATCAGCTACAATTGTGGTCATGACCCATCA